TTCAGTGGCGTTGTAGCCGGTGGCTTTTCATCCGCATTTCAAGCTTACTACAACGTTGCAATCAAGAAAACTTTGCAGCATACCGACAACGACCCGAATCTTCTTCTTTACTACAATCTATGGTGGTCGTCTATTTTGTTCATTCCTGTTATTTTCATTTCCGGTGAAGCGGGAGTATTCTCCGCGCTCCATTTCAGTGCAACAAATTCAAAATTCTACCATCAGTGGAGCGCACTGCTTCTCAGCGGTATGTTCAAGAATGATACATTCAAAGTTGTCTTCTATCTTTCCAGGCTTTCTTGCAACCGCAATGAATCTCGCCTCCTATTGGTGTGTTAAAGCCACGTCTCCCCTGACTTTTAATATTGTTGGATTCACAAAGTCGCTCGTTCAATCTGTTGGTGGAATTGTTGTTCTCGGAGATGTTGTTTCTCCCCAATCTCTTCTAGGAATTATTCTCTCATTGTTTGGTTCTGGCTGGTATTCTTTTGTAAAGGTTCAAGAGTCCAACCACGCCAATAAACAAGCCGCAGCTGCTGCTTCAGCGCAAGTTGAGTTGCAGCATCGTTCGGTGGATCTCGAGAAGGCTTTGGAAGAAGAATTGGCGCTTGCTTCAGATCAGCACGAACCTTCTCAGCCTTTCCGTGATGCTGCAAAACCGACTGTTATTGGTTCTCTCCAATCCGAACTTGATGATGGCTGCACAGTTTCAACCACCAGCGGACCATCCGGTATGTTGATATTTTGGTCTCAATATCAAGTTGTCTGTTCAGGCGGTCTCCCCCACAGTACATCAGATCTTCTCACATCACCGTCTGTATTTCGTAGAGGTGGAGTCATGAGTCCCTCACATGAATACCAGACACCCAGCACAGCCAAGCGTTCCCAAATGTCCTTTGATGCCTCTCCGATGGGAAAGGACGGAACTACCCCAAGTGAGGATGCGGATTGTTGAAGCATCAACTACTACCAATTGATTTTCAGAGCCGTTGCCGGGACGATCCCTCGGACTTTCTCTTCTCGGATTGTCAGAAAGAAGCATCGTTGAGACGCTGTCTGATGAAGCGGAGAAAAGTAGGTTTTTAATGTGAAACACATGTATTTATTTTTTTCAGATTTTTTGAATTATCATGAAGAGCTTCAGCCAGTGACAAAAGTCGATTAAGTATTTTTTCCTATAGATTTCTTCCTTTTTAGCACCATTCCTCATAATTTTCTACACGTTTTGATTTCTTCCAGCTCCAGATACAATTCGTTTATCTCGCTTATGTATCTCTGAGACGACAAACAAGTTGCTAAACTCTCCTTGCTTCTCATTTACATTTTTCACGTCGTTCCGCTTCAACTTTAGCGTCGGAGTGAGCAAATTATTTTCTACTGTGAATGGTTCATCCACTAAGCGAATCGCTTTTACTTTTTCGAATCCTTTGAGCTTCGTCTCAACAGCCTTCATTTGCTACGAGGACATGATACCAATGCAAACCATTGCACACCGACCTCTAGAACAGCAACTTTCAATTCATCACTGGCCATTGCACTCTCAAGAGAAATATTTTTGGATTTCCCCCACTCCTCCACAGCAACTCTATCCGGCACTATGATCGCTACTAGGGAGTCCTATCGGGGCAAAAGATCTAGAACACTCAAGAAAATCATTCCGCTTGCCTTTGATGAGTATCCAAACACAAATGCTTGATAAATCAAAGACGCTTGTTGATACACTCCTATCGTGACTCAATTGTTATTTGATATCAATCGATTTCACTGACCTTCGACCTTCTCAGGTGCGACATATTCTCCTGAATGATGCAAATGACACTCTTTTATATCTTTGATGATTACCTTGGGACAACTTGAATAGATTCTTCCTTCTGTCGATAATCTTCATTGCTCCATTGGGCAGCATTTCTCCAATATCTCCAGTATGAAACCTGAACATATAAATTCACCTGAACAAATATTATTACAAATTACCATCCATCACTCGAAAATACTTCTTTGGTCAAGGCTTCCCTTCGAAAGTATCCACAGGACATTCCAGGCCCGCGGAGGAGGATCTCGCCTCTGCAAAATGGATGAAGATGGAGTGAATGGTTGCTATCACCTGGCAGGATCACCCAACGGATCGCAATGCATCTCGGGCACCGCTTCTAATGTGAAGCCGAAGTATGGCAACACAAACCCCTGCGGCCATACACAAGATTATTGCGGTAGAAGGCAAAGTAGTTACCACGTGACCAGTTTGTCTTTCAAATGGTCGCGTAGCGAAAGTTGCTCCTAGAGTCTCCGTCAACCCGTAAACTTGAATTATGGGACAACACAGAAGAACTTTGAGACGTTCTTCGATTATTGAATCAATTGGAGCTGAACCAGTGAAGCAATAGCGAAATCGATGTCCCAAAATAGCGCGACAATGATGAAATATCAACTGACGGAGAAGGGAATGTGGGAATGTGGGATTATCGATGTGAAATGGCTTACAGGGTCCCCAAACAAAATGGTATGGTGATCCAGTTCGTCGCAGATTCTGCAATTTGACTTCAACTGCGAAATCAAAAAGGACTCGTAACCACCACGACTGTTTTTGTTGCCATTGCATAATTTCGTCATGGACTCGGTTTAGGAGTCTAGGAACCGTAACAAGAAAAGTTGGCTGAATTTCCTGCAGGCTGCGATGAAGATTGTTGACTCCTGTGCAAACTTTCGCAATAGCAACGCCCCGGGAGAGCAACAGCATCGTCACAAGGCCCCCCAAAATGTGAGCCATAGGAAGATATGAAGCGTGCATGTCACCCTAGAGAGACAACAATCTTCTGGAAGGTGTCACGTGATGATACCTGTCCCAATACAAAGAATGGCGAACTGAATCCCGACGATGTGAACGCTTTCAATCCAAGAACAATCGACCGATGAGTTGCAATCACGCCTATGATGATTCAATGTGTTCCGCTTCGTCATGGAAAAATTTACCTTTCGGGGTTCCAGTTGTGCCTAGGAAATAAGCGCAATAAGACGCGAAATAAGAAAAGCACGATGAAGCGAACCTGATGTATAGTAGAGAACGGCGACATCCTCGGGAGACACATCGACTGGATGGAGCTGTTCATTTCGTCCAGAACGAACGAGCTCCTCAAATGGATAAAAATTCAGCTCTGGATCCTTCGCTTGAAATTTTTTAATTTGATCTAAAAGTCGTTGTTCTTCATTTGATCTCTTTGTTGAGTCTCCTTTCAACAATTGTTCATCAAACGCGACCCCTTCTCTTATTATGATAAAATTCTTAACATTCGGCATTGAAGCCAGCAAAGGCTTTAAAGACGTTTCCCATAATTCAAATGAAACAACAATTGAAGTCATGAGTGTCTGATTTGCCATAAAAATCAAAGCTTCATCTCCAAGTGTTTCATACATGGGAACGACTGTCAATTGGAACGCGTTGGCAGCCTGCTGAATAACAACCCATTCGATGGAATGTTTCGTATAAACTCCCAAACATCGCAGATTTTTTGCATAATGGTACAACTCGTCTTCAAAATGTTGTAATTCACATAAATTTTTCTTGTGAATTGCTGTCCCAATTTGCAGTGCCATTGATTCAACTTCTTGATAAGTGAGCCATTGATAATGTCCCAAGGATCCATCAAGATTTCGTTTTCGTTGTCCCAAACACTTCGCGCTTGGCTGTTTCTGCACAGCCTCATGAAACAAATCGAAGCATGTTTTGTTTTGTTGTTCTTCTGCGACCCACAAATTCAACAAGGTGAAATATTCGTGGTCTTACTGTAATCAGTGATGGATTGGGTTTCAGTCGTTGATCCAGCGAACAGTGGCAAACGAGAATCTTGTAACGGAATCTTGAAGTTGAAATATTCCAAAATGATTCGATTCCAACGAGTCACTAATTCGAAGAAAGTTCTGAGTAGCGGAGTACGATAATAGGTGGCAACCTTTCTCATGATATTGCCGCACTGAAAGGAGGCAATCAGAAGGAGCTCGAGAGGGTTCTTTGTCTTGACTTGTGCGTGCTCGCAGACTCCATACCATTGTTGCAGAAGCCCAGAACGAAAGGAAGAGGAGGCTGTTAGGAGGGGATGGTTCTCAGATACGACACCTGCTTGGAGCTTGACCTGGGTGAGAATCTCCTGTATGATGCGACGAAACAAAGAAAAAGTAATATGGAGTAGGGCGGACGGACTACAAGTGAGAAAAGAAAAATCGTAGGGAGACGCTAGAAAATCTTGCTTTGGGTAGATTTCGTCCGATGAGAGTTTGTCGACGTGAAGAACCTTAATCAGGAACTGAGCTGTTAGCTTGAAAAGAAAAAGGAGCAGACGATCCGATGCCAACAAGAGGAAATAGAAAATGCTACGCAGTTGATTGAAGACACACAACAAATTAAAACAAATTTGATTACTAAAAGTCATTTGGTCCGCCATGAATAAAATAGAAAAGTGCTTACACAATCATTATCAGGTTCATAAAAAACGCCAGAACAAAAGGAATAAATTGAATTCTTAACTTCAAGGCCGCTCTGCACAACACAACTTTGCACAAATCCAATCAACTTCATGCTCAAAAGGCGCTAAATTCTACCTCATCTGTTCTGCCGTGTCGCTCTGATATCTGAAGACTGCCTGCAGCTCCCACGACGCCTCGTCTGACCTTTTGTCTTGGGAGCTTTTTCGATCGCTTGAGTTGCTGCTAGTGCTTCCTGACTTCATCCACACGTTCTGTTCGTTCGTTGTTCATTCTTGTTCTGAGATCGATGTTGCATGATGGTTGATACGCAAGGACGGAACATTGGTTCACTGAAATGCACGAGAAACTAAAATTTAGGCCTAACTCTTCAATTCATGCCAACATGAAAGCTTCCGCGATCTTGTGCCCCAAATTTGAACATCAACGAGACTGATCAGATCGTGTAGCACCCTGCAACACCCCCATGTTTCATTAAGTTTTACACTCCTGACAGGTTCATTTTTCTGTTTCCAGTCACAACGATGAAGAAGAGCGGGACATTATGGATTTCGATCATTCTGTTCCCGCTATCACTCGCATATCTCGATTCTGGCTCTCTATCATCGACTTTACGTCAAAGTCCGTCCTTCGTTGTGCGCACCGATACAGCAATAGCCCCAGCAGAACCGGAGAACATCAACCGTAACCCAGATCCACTTGTGACGAGCCACGCCGGCCCCGCTTATCCTGCTGACGCCGAATTCCAGGAACACGAGGAGACTACTGACCCTAACGACACCAATTTCACCGCAAATCATGGAATCGCTACCCGCCGCATTCTTCAGTTTGGAGAAAACGGTGTATCTGTTGGATGGAGAATTGGTTTGGCTGTTTTACTCGCTATATTTTCTGCAATATTTAGTGGATTGACTCTCGGTCTGATGGTGTTGGATGTCGTTCAACTTCGGGTCATTATTCAGTCCGCAGAGAAAGCCCCCGATGACCCAATAATGAAGCGGGATGCAAAACGTGCTAGAAGGATTTATCGTCTGCGCAAAGATGGAAATCTCCTTCTTGTCACTCTCCTCGTTTCAAATGTTTCTGTCAACTCGGCGTTCTCTATCGTTGCATCGGATCTCACCAGTGGACTCGTTGGATTCTTACTCTCGACGACGATCATTACTCTTTTCGGTGAAATCATTCCACAGGCGGTTTGTAATCGCTACGGGTTATTGATGGGATATTATCTCTGTCCTTTGGTTTGCCTTGTTGAAATCCTGTTGTACTTTCTCGTTAAGCCAATCGCACTCATCTTGGATTATTTTCTAGGTATGCGGAACTTGCATACTCTCTGGTGCACCGTCGCTTCTCATAATTTTTCCCATTTTATTGTTCTCTTATTTTCTTAGGGCGGATCTAGGTGTGTCTTATAATCGAGAGCAGCTCAAGGCTCTAGTTGGTCATCACGAACAAGAGGTCAAGCTTCTAAACCAAGAGGAAGCAAGAATTCTATTCGGGGGCTTAGACGTTGCAACTAAGACTGTATGTGTGTTTCGTGTCTTCATACGTTAGCTTTTGCTTCCGTAGGTTGGATCTGCAATGACACCATTGGACAAAATCTATGGAATTGATATCACAAAAAATCTTGATTTTGATACCGCAGCTCAAATGATCACTTCGGGATATTCGAGAATTCCGGTGGTGGACAAGTGAGTCGGCACACAATTGTAAAAACACTTTTCGATTTGGTGGATTCAAACTTCGGTTCAAATGAATGAGTTTGAACATCCTTTACTTCTATTCTTAGGTCATCGCTTCAATGTATTGTTGGTTTGCTTTACACGAAGGATATCGCATTGATTGACCCATCTCTTCATTTACCAGTGAGGACCGTGTTGTCGATGTTTGGACGAGCAGTCTATGGGGTGGATGTGGATGCGCCGCTTCTAGCAGTTTTATCCGAGTTCAAGAAAGGCCAGTCACATCTGGCTGTAGTCCGCGAAGTTGTTGATGATGGTGTTCGTGATCCATACTATCGTCATGTAGGAGTTATTACTTTAGAAGATATTATTGAAGAGATCCTTCAGGTGGGAATCCTGAGAGGAAACGTTGTTGATGCTTGTGCTTAGGATGAGATATTAGATGAGTATGAGCAACTCGACAAGCAATCAGCAGCGTCTCCTGAAGGACCAAACGAGAACGTCGAACCTCCTTCTGAACGTCCAGCGAAGAAGCGAAGATGGGCTTTTCTGAAACTTCACTTGCGGAGGAAGCAGCACTTAGAGGCCTCGAGGGAATCTGTACCAATGACAGGATCATCGCTGGGAAAGGAATCAGGAACGCTTCAACTTCTGGAGAAGGGGGGCCCACAAACAATGCAGACTTCTCGTTCTCAGCCCCAATTTCAGAGAAATCTTCCGCCAGAACCGCTTGATTCCCTTGTTTTCACGCAACTCTCCTCCGCCGCGTTTCCGTCACGTGGTGCGATCGACAAAGAAATCAGTGGGCCAACGATGACACCAGCCGATACTGTAGGCCGTTCCGGGGTTTGTTCGCCAGACGACCCGTCCCCTAGAAGATGTTCAGTTCAATATGCGCGAGGGATCATCAGTTGGTGCTTCGGTGAGGCGTCTGGTATCGATCGTCAGTTCTCCTTCTGTCCCGGATATCATCACGACCGGATCTCCTGGATTCTTACCGCGTTCAACATCTACGATGGTGGACAATGCGATGCTGGGCCGTCTTCGCCTTTTTAATAGGTCGGTTGGGCTTGCTATGGACTTCATATGCTGTTTCTTTCAGGCAGCGCAAAGTCGAACCTTTATCAGCGAATGAAGCCGCAGCAGTTGGACTGTTTCTTGCTGGAACGGAAGTGAGGTTTGGATCAGAAGCATGTACCTCCTTCTCTCAGGCTGCTTTTCGTGTGCCTTATTTGAATCAAGCAATTTTACGGCAACTACTTCACAGTTGTCCCGTCAAAGAGCATAATGATCCCGCGTCACCACTGTTTATCAGAGGGCAAGAAACGGACACTTTGGTTCTCATTCTTCAAGTTAGAGCATTTCCTCGTCCCTTTTGTTGGATTGGTGTGTCAGGGACACGCGCGCGTTCTTGCTGGTGAAGATAATGTAGAGGCTCTCATTGGCGCTTGGAGAGTTTTAGGATCGAAGGTGGGATTCATGAGCTTGTACGTTTTCTCATTTTTTATTGCAGGCGTTGGTTCCTCCCAATCTCAGTAGAATTAAGGCTGACATCAAACTTGAAGAACCGCCAAGCTGGGTAGGCTGCAATCACCCCTTCGCTTCGATTCTTTTTTGTGCCAGGAGGTTCTCTCCGAGTTGGATCGACGTCTCAGTCAATGGTCTTCGTCTACAGTTTACACCCCTGATTTCACAGCATATCCTTCAGTAGC